ATAGAGATCCTGGTCGTTAGGTCATCTTGGCTCTTCAGTACTTTTTTGCTAAAGCAAAGCTAACGCTTCCAGTCAGATGCAGTTGGGACAGGCCCACAATCCAATATTTTTTTAAGTTGACAACAGGGGCAGTTATTGCTGCCACCTCGAGCTCATGCTTTGAATCCTACCCCAGGTAGCGGCTGTGGGGCAACTGTTGGCATTTTCATACTGCTTCATTTTGCGTGTTTCCCAGCTAAGCTGTGTGCCCCCCATCCCAAGCCCTGCTATGCTGCCAAAGGAAGGTGACCTGCTGCTGTCATTAATAAGTTACATTATGTTTAGAAAATGAGTGTGGCTGTGGGGAGGGAGGTACATTTGTTATTTCAAGTGGAGGCAGCCCGGGTAACAAGTTTTATGTGAATCTGAACTCCACTGTAATGCGCTCTTGAGTGAAAGATTTACCCCAGTTTTATAGCCTTAGTCTCCATACTTGTGTCTTTCTTATCAAGGGGTTTACATCATCCATTTACCTCATTCATATCATTATCATTCATATCAATGTGTTTAATGCTAGAGCTTGGTGATGACTAGTGAAGGCCGCTTGGTTTCTTCTTTTGGTTAATGTGCCTCAAGGCACTGGAGCATGTGTTGTTACTCTACTGTTACTGAAATCCTCTCAGCTCTTTCTGTGAGGAAATGTGCAGGCACGAGCGCAGTCTGGCCAATACTTGTGCCTTACACCTTCCAGGGGGCGTTCTGCGCCCTCCACCTGGGCCGCTGGCCGGAGCCCAGGAGCGGCCTCTTTGCTTCCCGCCCCAGAACAGCCGCACCTTGCCCAGACGCGGCACGGACAGGAGGAGCTCTCCTCCCAACCCCGCGCAGAGGCAGCCGCTGTGTCAGGGCCCGACGTTACACTGGCCTAACGTGCCGCTCCCTTGTGCTGAGCAAAGTCACTGTCGGGGACACGCGGTCCCAGCCAACAAAATACCCAAGGTGTGTTAGGTAAGCAGTTAAGGAGCAACTAACATCCCTGCTCAGTCAAGAAATGATCAGGCTCTGGATGAGGTGGTAGCAACACTGCTGAAGACGTGGAGCAAGTAACCAGTTTGCTACTGGGCAGATAGCACAAATGGCAAAAAATGTTCCAGCAGCCTGTCCTCAAAATGGAGTGTGTACTCTGTTCAGCAGACAGCCCAAAGTAATCTGGAATTACCAGTGATTATAACATACTTTTTGCTTAAAAGATTCTCATCCACCATTTAAACCCTCGAGGGTCACCCTGAAACAACACTGGGATGCCAGGACAGAACTTGTTTTGTTCTCCTTCTTAGCTCTGAGGGTATCTAAATGCATCTCCTTCAGTTATGCCCTGTTCAACTACTCACTCTAAAAAGACTCAGCCCTTTCTTCCCAAACCCCACAGTGACCCTCTGGACCTTTTCTATGGCATCTCTGTATTAGAGATAACAAAAAGATGGTCATCTCAGTGAAAAATCCACTGGCCATTTTATACATCCTTCCACTGGAGACAAACTGCACTTGAAGACACACCTGTGGGTAGGAAGGTGTAAGATTTGACGTGCTTCACCTAAAGAAATTGATTATGCAGCAGGTTTTTCTCGAAGCTCCCCTGAGTACAAGGAAAAGGGAATCGGTGAGTTCTGGAGGCGGCGGGCACCTTGCCCTTAATGAAGATGAGGCAATTTGCTCCATCTGCTGCTTTATGGCTCTGTCTGGCCCTGGTGGAGACAACACTGCCTTGTCACAGGGGAGCCGTGTGGGTCACAGAGTACTGCTTCACCGGCTCACCTAGCGCACAACTAGCCAGCCTTTCCCGCAGACTGACGTAAAGGCAGCAGAGCAAAGGAGGCAAGTGCACACACACACCCCCTCCGCCCTCCCTCTCAGGAATGTGCAGTCTCCGGCGCCTACGAGGCTGCGTCATGCCAACAAACCACAGCCTTCAACTGAAGTGCGTACTCCTGGCACGGCAGTAAATCTGACACCGAATTCAGAAGAATCCAGTTATCAATACAGCAGAAATGCCTTCCAGCTACTAGTCATCACCAGTCGGGCTAGAACCTGTAGGATACAACCACCACCAAGGAGGAAGCCATTCGCTCCCTCCCTGCTCTCACCACTCCTTGCTTGCTCTCAGTAGTCTCCTTTTCACTGCTCTATTGGGCAACCCCAGAATGATGCTTGTACTTAATGCTTGCTGGATAATGTACAGAACTTTATTCCTGAAAACCTCTATCAATCAACTCCATTTTCTACAATAGAATTTGCCAAGAGAAACTGTTGGAAGTTTCTATTTCCCTTTCACGGATGTTGCTTGAAACATACACACACACACAGAGGCAGTCAGCCAAGTAATGGAGGAGCATAAATATCCCAGGCCAACAGTTAGCCAACACGGCTGCGGAAGTAATAGTAGTAGCCCCTGTCCCAAGAATGTCCAGGAGTTACCAGAGAAACTTCATTTTTTGGAAACATCCCCTGCTTCCACCATGTGGCCTCCACATTCTTCTGCATCTCCGAGGGAACCGGAGTTTTTTTTCTCAACTCTCAAACTAGGGAGGTGAGAAGAACGCTGAGCTGGGTGGGCTCAGCAGGCTGCCCATGCGCCCCGTGCTGGATTACAACTCATGTCACCTCATTCTGTCAGAGAAAGCAGCTTCTACTGCAACCACGTAGCAGACCAAGCTGTTCAGCTCAAATGCCAGAAGCCTATGGAGTGCTCAGTGTCTCCTGCTCTGTGAAGGAGATAC